CATCACCATCATTTTGTAAAAATTGCTAACATGCCGTCATATATCGGCCAAAATCCACTAACAAATGACACCATTGAATGGTATTCAACAGATACTTCATACTGCACATTTGACAGTTATATTAAATTTACACCGGCATATGGGAGATATTTTAATAACCGATGTTTAATACAGGTATTATCCACCAATACTAAACTATCATCATGCAGGTATGAACATGTGGAAGATGCCGATCACTACACTCTTCAGCTAAATGGCGGATATTGGGCAGTGTCTAGTAACAGAACTCTTGAATGTGTTCTTGTTCCTGTTATGCCCAGTTCTGATGAAATTGGTGAATTACCAGCCCGAAATGTGAAAAAGTTCATACCACCTGTATCATTAGTTCATGTTCCACCAAATTCATTTTATGCTTGTGCTGATGGTCAGTTTAATTTATATGGTACACCAGTTAGTAGTAGCAATACCAGTTTGATTATAATATCAAATAATACATTATCTCGTCCAGATATTGATGTGTTTACTGTTCAGAAGACGATCAATGATACATACTTATCCAATTTATTGATTCGGACATTGATGATATCATTGACTTGATTACACAGACACCATCTCCCAATATCGATGTTCAAATAAGAAATAACTGGAATCAAATGTCCTCATCATCCAGAACATTAATAATCAGTGGTACTCTCATAGCCCCCTTCATTATTATTTTCACTATTACTATTATCTATTTCGTGAAATGTAAACCATGCAATTCTAAAAAACAGCCAGGACAAAACATTGAAATTAATTTGGCAAATACAAGCCCGCACGACACACCCGTTCCAGAACCATTTCCAACAGCTAATCCGTTGTTGGATTACTTTTATCAACAACTATTGCAAAAAACACAAATCATAGACAATAAATGACAATAATTAATGCATTGTTAACTACTAGGCAAGAATACTTTATCCAAAAAAGTATTTTTTCTATTCATGATAAAAAACATTTATTTTTACAATAAACAGAGCTATACATTTTCTGCAGCATAACAGATGCTGTATTCGACACACGTTACTAAATCAGTATTTGTCATTTTAAAAGCAAAATGAACAATATTCTGAAAAACTGATTGTGCCATTCGACAGAGCTCATCGAGTTCTATCTGGCACATTTATTTCTAGAGATGGCACAGCTTTAATAAAAAATGTTAGGTCAAAATACGACATTTTGAACCTTCGTCTCGTTCAGAAAATGAGTATTTGTCATTTTAAAAGCAAAATAAACAATATTCTGAAAAACTGATTGTGCCATTCGATAGAGCTCATCGAGTTCTATCTGGCACACTTATTTCTAGAGATGGCACAGCATGAATAAAAAATGTTAGTCGAAAATACAGAAATCTGCTGCTAACTTCCCTTACGTTTTCATTTACTATTATTTTTAAATGTAGTGTGTAAATGTAATAGTCTGTTTCAAGCAGTCATTTGTCGAATGACGAAATGTCACGAATAATTTGAAAATAAATTTGGAAAGAGATTCACTATGTCAAATAACAAAGCCAATTAAGACGAATCTGGGTTAGGAAGCTACGTTATCGGCATATCGAAAGTAAAAAATTAGATTTACATTAAAGAAAAAAGATAAAAGCATATAAACGCCAATACGTGACAATGTTCCGAGTGCTAAGATATTTTAAACAATAAATAATATGACTTTGTCTTTGAAAACAAATTGAAAGAATAAAAAGAAAAAATTTACATTTCAAATAAAATTGTCACTCTCTCT